ACACATGAGAACTCACACGGGAGAGAAACCGTATAAGTGCGATCTGTGTGATGCTACCTTCTCTCTTCTGGGTAATGTGAAGACACACATGAGAACTCACACACAAGAGAAACCGTACAAGTGCGATCTGTGTGATGCTACTTTTGCACAATCGGGTCACCTGAAGACACACATGAGAACTCACACGGGAGAGAAATCGTATAAGTGCAATATGTGTGATGCTACCTTCTCTCTTCTGGGTAATCTGAAGAAACACATGAGAACTCACACTCAAGAGAAACCGTACAAGTGCGATCTGTGTGATGCTACCTTTGCACAATCGGTTCACCTGAAGACACACATGAGAACTCACACTCAAGAAAAACCGTACAAGTGCGATCTGTGTGATGCTACCTTTGCACAATCGGGTGATGTGAAGACACACATGAGAACTCACACGGGAGAGAAACCATATAAGTGCGAGCTATGTGATGTTGCCTTCTCACAATCGAGTACTTTGAAGCAACACATGAGAACTCACACGGGAGAAAAACCGTATAAGTGTGATCTGTGTGATGCTACCTTTGCACAATCGGTTCACCTGAAGACACACATGAGAACTCACACGGGAGAGAAACCGTATAAGTGCGATCTGTGTGATGCTACCTTTGCACAATCGGGTCACCTGAAGACACACATGAGAACTCACACGGGAGAGAAACCGTATAAGTGCGATCTGTGTGATGCTACCTTCTCAGATTCGAGTGCTCTGAAGAAACACATGAGAACTCACACTCAAGAGAAACCGTACAAGTGCGATCTGTGTGATGCTACCTTTGCACAATCGGGTAATCTGAAGACACACATGAGAACTCACATGGAGGAGAAACCGTACAAGTGCGATCTGTGTGATGCTACCTTTGCACGCTCGGGTCACCTGAAGACACACATGAGAACTCACACTCAAGAGAAACCATATAAGTGCGAACTGTGTGATGCTGCCTTCTCACATTCGAGTGCTGTGAAAAAACACATGAGAACTCACACGGGAGAGAAACCATATAAGTGCGATCTGTGTGATGCTACCTTCTCACATTCAGGTGCTGTGACGACGCACATGAGAACTCACACGGGAGAGAAACCGTATAAGTGCGATCTGTGTGATGCTACCTTCGCACAATCAGGTAATCTGAAGAGACACATGAGAACTCACACAGTAGAGAAAACGAAGAAGAAATTAACGAAAGAAAAAATCATTTAAATGTAACATTTGAAGTGACGAGTTAGCTCTGAAAACACCCTATAATCACACATGGCAATGCATAATAACTCTAGGGCGATGTCGTACAGATGTAAGCTGAAAGTTCATCTCGAACTGTCAGACTCACATGTAAGATCAGCTTGACTCTGTGAACAAGCGAGCACACTGCACAAATGTGAACTGGAGCAGTGTAGAATACCAACTAATGCAACTCAACTGTTACAGTTTCTTTCCAAAGTGGAAGCTGGACTAGGAATTAATTGAAAAAAATCTTCAAACCTTTAAGGTATACAACCGGACTGTGT